TCAAACTCTTGGGTTCAAGCAATTCTCTTACCTTACCTGGCCTCCCAGGTAACGGGGACTACAGGCACCCACTACAACGCCTGCCTATTTTTTTGATATTGTTGTCATTGTTGTTTAGCAGGCCCTGGCCAGGTTCGAACCCACCAGACCCAGTGTATGTGGCCGGAGCTCTAAGCACTGAGCTACTAGCACTAAGCCATGGGCCAAATTTTTAACATATGGTTTTGGCAATCTCTGGCTTTTTTTTTTTTTTTTGAGACAGAGCCTCAAGCTGTCCCCCTGGGTAGAGTGCTGTGGCATCACAGCTCACAGCAACCTGACTCCTGGGCTCAAACGAATCTCCTGTCTCAGCCTCCCAAGTAGCTGGGACCACAGGCGCCCGACACCATGCTAGGCTATTTTTTTTTTGGTTGCAGCCATTATTGTTGTTTGGTGGGTCCGCACTGGATTCGAACCTATCACCTTAGGTGTATGTGGCTGGCGCCTTAGCCACTTGAGCCACAGGTACCAAGCAGCAATCTCTGGCTTTTATGCCAATATTATATTGATGAAACTGACATCAATTTAACTTATTCTCAAAGTTCCACACTAAAACCAATTCACAGGTATTTCCAATAATTCAATGATACAGTTTACCTATAGGAAGACCCTAAATTAACAGAATCCATGGTTCTCACCTCCTAAGAGAATTTATCTGTCAATAATTTCAAGAAAGCAAAAAAAGTATCAAGATAATAGAAACTTATGTTACCACCTTGCTTGTCCTCTCCACAACTCATAAGCTTAACTAAACCCACAATAAAAACCTAAGACAAATACAACACTCTTTTGAGAGCATATGATAAAATACTGTTTTATGGTAAAACATTGTTTGTGGTAAAATTATAACCAAGTTTTTCTTAGTTAATAGATTTACATTATGTTACAGTCTGTGTTAAAGTGATTATTTTATTGGGAAGGCCCAGTGTATCATGAAGTAACACAGTATCTCAATGTGGAAGTACAAAGTCACTAAACTCAGCAAGGTCAAGCTTAAGATCTGGTTACAATGTGTGTATAGGAGGGGTACAGGAATATTGACAGCACAGGTCTGCTACCAATCCACATCCAAACAGGTAGCAGTGGCAGCATGTAAACACTGATTCATCCTTCAAGTGTGCCTGGTCCCGTGCTCTCCTATTTTTAGTTAACTTCTTGATTTCTCAAGGCCAAGAGAACCTAAGACCTAAAGTAAGAATCACTGTCATGATGATACCTGTGGTCAAATAGCTTTTTCTGTTCTTGCTCTACTGTCAATCCCTCAATGTGTTATATGATACCCTTAGAGAAAAACAAGAACAAGAACCAGGTTCCGGGTCTAAAAACCACATGCAAGCGAAAATTAAAAATAAAGCATTTTTTAAATAACAAATACCTTTTTTCTTTTTTTTCTTTTTTTTTTGGAGACAGTCTCATTATGTCACCCTCGGTAGATTGCCATGGCATCACAGCTCACAACAACCTCCAACTCTTGGGCTCAAGCAATTCTCGTGCCTCAGCCTCCCAAGCAGCTGGGACTACAGGTGCCCACCGCGATGCCTGGCTATTTTTTTTTATTGTAGTTGTCGTTAGCAGGCCCGGGCCAGGTTCAAACCTGCAAGCCCCGGTGTATGTGGCTGTCACCCTAACCGTTGAGCTACTGGCACTGAGTAATAAACACCTTATTTATAAACAAATATAAACACAACAAAAGTGAAAACAATCTAGATCCTCCCCCCCAATCTCTGCAAAAAAAGTCAAACAATTAAATTGGGAACCAAATGGTCTTCCTCTATAAACTAAATCCATTGAAAGAATTACAATTATCTCATACTGTTATTTTTCCATTGAATACAATGGAAATACAATTTTCAAGAACTTCATAGGTAATTTAGCAGAATACAAAACTGCATTTGTACCTCACATAAGTCAATTTGTAGTCCATAAAGAATCGGAGATGTAGAAGCTTTAAATTTAAAACATCAATCAACCTTCATTAACAATATGCCACCATATGAAAAATGAAGGGGGCACTATTTGAAGATAGGAAAGATTTCCATCCATATATTAGCTGTGTTTGGTACACCCAACTACTAACATCACATATTAACATCAGGCCTGAATTAAACATCTCAAAAGAATGGCTAGTTAATATGGCACTCTTATAAGCCAAAAGACTAATGATAATATTAATTAGTATATCTGTGATTTAATAGTTTCTCAAAAAAAGCACTCAAATTTCAATTCTCAGAAAAGCCATGAAAATGTCTCAATCAATTATGGCAATGTTTTGAAGAAGTATTGAGGATCTAGTAGTGATTAACAATATAAAAATGTTAACATGCAATTGTACAATGTACGCAAGGGTCTTTGCAGAATGGGGAATGTGCTATTGAGATCAAAACTCATCTGTCTGCATGTCCTGGCACTGCAGCCATGATAGCTCTTCTGCCTTACAGAAACTGTTCTACCATAAAACTAATTTTTTTGGCAACTAAGTGGCTTCGAGAACTGACAAAAGGAAACAAAAATAAAAAAACCATTAGGCACGTTAATATATTACTTGTAAAATCTCATCTAAGAGTTTCTTTCTTAATTTTACAATAACATTAAGATGCAATCTTCATGCATCTTTACAGAGAGTTCTTATTTTTCAGTTCAGCAAATTTTTACATGCCCCAACTTTTGTTCAGATTTATATATGAAGCCAAGGTCTCTAGAGGACCACACTCTAGTGAAGACAAACATAAATAAAAACAGGAATACTGGCTCGGCACCTATAGCTCAACCGGCTAAGGCGCCAGCCACGTACACCTAAGGTGGCGGGTTCAAATCCCCAGCCCGGACCCGCCAAACAACAATGATGGCTCATTGCGTTGTGGCGGGCGCCTGTGGTCCCAGCTACTTGGGAGGTGGAGGCAGGAGACTCGCTTGAGCCCAGGAGTTGGAGGTTGCTGTGAGCTGTAATGCCACGGCACTCTACCCAGGGGGATAGCTTGAGGCTCTGTCTCAAAAAAAAAAAAAAAAAAAAAAAAAACAGGAATACTATATAAACTATGAACCGAAGATCATTTTTATTAACTCAAAGAAAAGGAAATTAATTTAATGACAACCTCAGGTAAAAGCAAAGTTAAAAATTTACCTCTTCCTTATTTCACTGAGCATTTGAAAGTATGTCATTATGGGCAGTGCCTGTGGCTCAGTGGGTAGGGCGCTGGCCCCATATACAGAGAGTACCGGGTGTGAATCCAGACCCGGCCAGCTAACATAGCAATGAGAATTGCAACAAAAAATAGCTGGGCATTGTGGCAGGCACCTATAGTCCCAGCTACTTGGGAGGCTGAGGCAAGAGTATCACTCAAGCCCAGGAATTGGAGGTTGCTGTGATGCCGCAGCACTCTACCAAGAGTGACAAAGTAAGACTCCAAAAAAAAAAGAAAGTATGTCATTATGTATACACATAACTAAAAGCTTTTTGTCAATCAGTATATTATCATTACTGATCATGAGTATCTACAGATTAAACAGTAGATACCCATTTAGAGTAGAAAATACTTGATTAAAAGTTTGTTTTGAAATGGCCAATAACTTCACAAGCCTATAATCAGATAAAAAGTAAAATGAGACACAGCTGAGCCAACAAGGACTTCTTAGAGCCTTGTTATAATTTAACAATCTCCTTAAGTGAATATAAATATTGTAATCATCATTTTTCTGACACAATTATGTTCTGGTACTATGTCTTCTATAAGAAGCATCTGTGTACCCACCTGTTCCAGGTCCATTGGCTGTCAACTACAAGCACCCTCTATCCTTATTTTTCTAGATCAGTCTACTAAAAATATTATGTGTACGATATCTGAAAAACAGTGTTCGAATATAGGTTCCTCAAATCCATCAAAAGTATCCCTCAAGTATTTAAGAGATAATTCCAATCTTGGATTTATCAGTGAGGAGAAGATGTGGGATGTGATTTCACTGCTAGTGTTCTGTGCCCCCATTAAGCCAAACACTTGTATAGACCATATTTTTATCCTGTGGCAAATATATAACTCAAGCTGTGAAAACAGAACCAGTTCATAAGAGTACCTGTAAAATCCCACTGCCCAAATTCTTGTTTCAAGTGTAATTTTTTAAATATCTTCTTTAGGCTCTACACTTGTCTAGTATTCAAACTTAACTAAGAAAGAAGTACCAAAAACAGTACACCATTACAGTTAGAAAAAACCCTAATGGTATCTTTCAGATTCACCCCTTTTTCAAACATCACTTCCTCTCCACCACTTCCCCCAGTCCTTCAGACAAACCAGTGATTAACACCGCCCCTTCCACCCCAGATTTTTAGAAGAATCCACTGTGCCCAAACGAGAAAAGCCCACAATCCAAGTACATTGCCCAAGTGATCTTCGATGCTTTGAAAGGCACCTGTAAAAATGCCAAAGCCTTAAATTAGATGCCTAAGGGCTCTTTTTCTTTCTGGACTACGTTTCTCTTTTTAAATGCCTCCCTCAACCCTTTAAACCAGCCGATTTCCCATCCGATAAATAGCCCTGCCTCTTCCAGTCAAACCTAAATCCTGCCCTCCATGAGCACCAGCCCCACCCGGGTGGACGAGCTGACCCCACGCGGGGCCCTCGCCCTCGCCCTAGGATAACACCGGCTCAGGTTCTGCCCCTCGGACCCCCGAGCCCACTGCCACGACGCTGAGCATCTCTGCACACTCCCGCGGACCCTCTTCCATCTTCCGCCACCACGCTGCTTCCAAAAGCCTCCAAGCTCTGGCCTCTTCCAGTCTTCCACTCCCTCTCGGCCCCGCGTCTCGACCTACCCCTAAGCCCCTGGCCATCAGCACCCCTTAGGCCCTCGGCTCCACAACCTCCATTTCCTTCAGATTCCATTCTAGAGCTGCCTCCCCGTCTCCCGCAACCGTCTCCCCGCGGCCCCTCGGCAGCCCCCAGCTCCACCGCAGACTCCCGACTCACCCTTGACTGCAGGCGCCCCCCAAACTCCCCTCTCCTCAGCCTCAGCTCCTCTCACCTCGGCGGTCGGAGTCGGGCTCCCCGGACCCACCTCCGAGTCGGCGTCCGAGCCGCCGTCGGAGTCCGGGGACCTCCGGGCCTCGCCCGAGTGAAGCGCCTCGAGCGGCGGGGGCGGAGCCCGGGGCGGGGAGCCGCGGTCGGGGCGGGGGCGGTGGCGGCTGCGCGCAGGCATCGCCCCGGCCCCCGTCACCACCGCGCCGGCAGCTGCTAGGAGCCGAACCGGAACTGCTTCGGGAGGCGGGGCCCTACCGGCGGGAGGAGGAGCTCTACCGGAGGAGGGGCGGGGCCAAAACCGGAAGAGACGCGGGGCTCAGCCTGGCCCGAGAGGGGAACGAGAGAAACCGCAGCCTGGGAGCCCGAGGGCGCATGCGTCGGGCCGGAAGCCAAAGTGGGAGAAGGGAACCCAGAGAGGGGAGATCGGCTGGGCAAATATGGTAGGGTCTAGGAAGGGGTTATCCTAATTCCTCAGGGGAGGGGCAGCTCTTCCCCAAACACCAACCCTCAGAGATCCTTATCCCTTACTGCCTCATTGCTATCTGACAGTGTCTATACCAAATGTCACACAAAGATCTCATATAATTCTCGTGCCACCTGTACAAGGTAAATCATACAACAAAGAAAGGCCAAGAAACGTTGCCTGATATATCACTTCAATATGCGCCCAAACTGGTATTCTAACCTAAAGCTGTCTAACATCAGAACCAATGTTCCTCTCACTCCACAATGCTACCCCACGGTGGGCAAGGCCCCTCCAACCCAGGCCTAGCATTAGCATAAACAAAATCCAAAGGCAGCTGCAACTTGGGCTATAGCATCTCCTTGGCCTTGCTTCTCCACACAGTGCAGGGCCAACTTCAGTACTTCCAGATGGGTGGGAACAGGTTCTGGGATGGACATGAGTGTAGACTGCTTCTGTAGGATGGCCTGGTATTGCCTTCTCCCTAAAGCTGGACTCAAGGCCACGGGCAGCTGAAGACCTTCCCACCTCAGCTCATACTCTTCCAAGCCCCGTCATAACCTCTGAAGTCACTTGAGAGAAGGGAAGACATCTCATCTCTTCTGCCAATAATCAGCTCTGGCAGAAGGACAGGTTGCCCTCTCTTAGCTTCATTCTGGGGCCAAAAGCCCTAGTAGGCAGAGAAATCTTCCTCCCATCCTTAAAATGTTTCTGATTGGCCAGGCACGGTAGCTCATGCCTATAATCCTGGCACTCTGGGAGGCCGAAGCAGGTGGATTGCTTGAATTCACAAGTTCAAGACCAGCCTGAGCAAAAAGCAAGACCCCATATTTACTAAAAATAGAAAAAACTATTCTATTTTAGGTAAGAGGATCGCTTGAGCCCAAGAGTTGGAGGTTGCTGTGAACTATGATGATGCCACAGCATTCTACCCAGGGCAACAGCTTGAGACTCTGTCTAAAAAAAAAAAAAAAAAAAGAATGTTTCTGATGACAGGCCTTTTGGCTTTCAAAGTCTAGTAGGGCAACACTCATTTCCCTTCTCCTCCTCTGACATACAAGGCCTCCTTTAGCCTTCTCTTTTGAGAAGTCAGCCATCTTCATTACAGGACTATTGTTCAAACCTTCCCCTATGAACCTTGTGGGCACCTTTTATGTAAGGTCCTCTATGTCTCTTCTTCACATTTCTCTGACTCTATAACTCAGAAAACTGCCCCTGACCCCCACAATCCAGAAACTCGTTCACAGACATCCTGCTCCTACCCATTTTGTGGCCCACCCAGACCTATAAAATGTTTTCTATCATTCATCCTTGAAGCCAGTCACCTCTTCACCACCCTGGATCTCTGCTTTAACTCAGTCCTCAGAAACAAATAGCCTCATTTCGGGCTCCAAACCTATTAATTCAATAAACTGGTCAGGCACTGTGACTCATACTGGTAATCCTAGCCCTTAGGGAGGCCAAGGCAGGAAGATTGCTTGAGGCCAGGAGTTTAAGACCAGCCTGAGCAACATAATGAGATCCTGTATCTACAAGAAATATAAAACTAACTAGTATGGTAGTGTGCACCTGTAGTCCTAGCTACTTGAGAGGCTGAGGCAGGAGGATTGCCTGAGCCTAGGAGTTTGAGGTTGCAGCAAGGTACAATTGTGTCACTACCCTCCAGCTGAGGCAGCAGAGTGAGACCCTGTCTCAAAAGAATAAATAAAATAAAAGCCAACAATCTTTTTTTTTTTAATACAGAGTCTCACCTTGATGCCCTTGGTAGAGTGCTGTGGTGTCATAGCTCACAGCAACCAGTCTGGCTCAAGAGATCCTCTTTCTCAGTTTTTCACTTTTAGTAGAGGCAGGGTCTCACTCTTGCTCAGGCTGGTCTGGAACTCAGGAGCTCAAGCAATCCACCCACCTTGGCCTCCCAGAGTGCTAGGATTACCGGCACCCACCCTTCAGTAAATGTTTCTAAGTACCTACTATATGTTACACACAGATCATCTTCGTTTCATTTAATCCTCACAACTCTCTGAGGTAGGTGGAATTATCGTTACTTTACTAGTGAAGAAACTGAGGTGAAGAGAGGTAGACTGGCTGATTCCAGGTTTAGGGGGTGGGGGTGGCTTGGGGAGGAAAACATCCTGTCCTCTCTGGAGGCCCCTGTGACTTGCTGAGTCACTTGCTCCTGTCCAACCTGTCCCTGTCAATCTCTGGGAAGAAGAAATGACACTGGAGAAACAGGAGTGACCGCAGAGGCAGAGGGTGGGCCGGCTGGCCCATGGCTGAGGCCTCGCTCCCAGAACTCGGGGAAGATGCCGAAGCCACGCCTTGCCCCAGCATCCCGGAGTTGGAGGAGCTACTGAGAGAGGGGACGGTCTCTTCCACCCATGTGGATGAAGTTTGGCCCAACCTTTTCATTGGAGATGCGTGAGTGGTAGCTGGCAGAGGGGCGTGGGAGTGGGAGCAAGGAGTTCCTGGACTCTTTACCAGACCAGGGAGTGGAAGGGAACTGAGAAATAGTCCTGCTCAGTGCACCCCAAATCTAGGACTTTCTCCAGGACCCCCATGTGCGGGGCTGGGTGCAGTGAGCAGGCGTGGCCAGCAGGGGGAGCAGGGATTTTGCTTGTCTCAGAGCCAGGGATTCCCAGAGGTTCCTGAAGTCTTCCGACACATCCAGGATTTCTGGCACGTGTAGCGGACAGAGACCTGGGGAATGGTATTTGCCGCATGAGGAAGGGTAGACAGAGAACCCCCCTTTCCGGTCCCAGTCTCTCTTCTCTGGACACGAAATGGGTGGATTGGCCTGACTGCAGGTGAATCAGGGAAGGTGTCACCTTTTAAACATTTGCAGATTAGAAGCAGGTATGAGTTGGCGGCCAGGGGAGCCTGGATGTGCGTGGGAGGACATAGGGCAAGAAGGGAGGGGCAGCTTCAAACGATGCCCTCCCAAGGTTGAAGCAATCCCTTCCTTCCTGCTCCCGACAAGGCAAGGGCAGATCGCCTAAGGAAGCAACCAAAGTCTAAAGATAACCCCTGCACCAGCAACTCCCCACCCCCACCCCGAAAGCTGTGGGGTGGAGCTGTGGGCGGCTGACCCCAGCTGGAACTTGTTGGATTCTGGCTACCTTTGGACACTAACGGCTCAGTGCCTCTGAAGCAGGCAAAACTTCCTTCCTAGATTTCACGGCTCAGCCGGCATCTAGTCCCAGCATCTAGTCCGCTTTCCGCTCTCCCCAGGGCCACGGCAAATAACCGCTTTGAGCTCTTCAAATTGGGCATCACCCACGTGTTGAACGCCGCCCACGGGGGCCTCTTCTGTCAGGGCAGCCCCGAATTCTACGGCAGCAGCGTGAGCTACCTGGGGGTGCCGGCCCACGACCTCCCTGATTTCGACATCAGTGCCTACTTCTCCTCTGCAGCCGACTTCATCCACTGTGCCCTCTGCACACCTGGGGGTAGGACTTGGGGTCCATGCCCATATCCCACCCTGCTCATTCATGCGAAGGATGTCCCATTTCCCCTCCCATCCCTGGTTTTAAAAAATCCTCTGCTCCATGCTACAGAATTGTATCTAACCTTAAATTGAGGCCTGGACCACAAGGTCATGCCATGAGGCAGGAGCAACCCTGGGGCTGGAAGCCAGGTCTCCCAAACAGCAGAGCAGTTCTTTATCTGCAGCACTCAGCCCTGAGAAATCACCATTTGCACGTAGATTTCTTCCCCAAAGTACTTTGAACTGGAAAAAATAATCTTCAGATCCCCAGTGTACAACAAAGGATTTCCTCATCTGTATGATAGGAACAACAGGACTACAGCTCACATGACTTTTTAATATCCAAAGCACTTTGATATCGTTTTGTCCTTCATCCATTCATTCACCAGCCTTTTTTTTTTTTTTTTTTTTGGGACAGAGTCTCAAACTGTCGTCCTGGGTGGAGTGCTGTGACGTCTCAGCTCACAGCAACCTCAAACTCTTGGGCTTAAGTGATTCTCTTGCCTCAGCCTCCCAAATAGCTGGGACTACAGGCACCCACCTCAATGCCCAACTATTTTTGTTCTTGTTGTTGTTGCAGTTGTCATTGTTGTTTTGGCTGGCCTGGGCCAGGTTCGAACCCGCCAGCCTCAGTGTAGGTGGCTGGCGCCCTAATCACTGAGCTACAGGCACCACCTCACCAGCTGTTTATTATCTTCTATGTGCCAAACACTGAGCTAAAGACAAGGAATCTCCAGACTTACAGCAGGGTCCCTGCCCTTTTGGGACTGATGGCGAGACAGTCAAATTATCATGTGAAGTATCACGAGCGCTGCTCATAGGTGCGGGCACGCATGAAGAGCTATGGTAGCACAGAGCAGGGAAGCTCAGCCCACAGAAGTGGGTGGGGGAAGACTTCCCTCTACACCAGGGTTCACTGGGTCATATGCAAAAATGATGAGGTGCTCTGTGATTCAGGCAATACCTTGAGTGGTCATGAAAGCCTGTAGATGAAGCTGTGTCTCAACAAAAACCTAATGATGAGTAGCAGAAGTTAGTCAGCCCAAGACCAGGGGAAATATTTTGAAGGTAGTCAGAATAGCATGTGGTAAGGCTGGAGGTCAGAGACCATGACACATCTAAAGCACCACAAGTTACTCCCGTTCCTAGAGCTGAGAGTTGGGGAGGGATGGTTTGAGGTGAGACTGCAGGGTCAACAGGGGCCAGCTCTTGAAGGGTCTTAAAAGCCATGTGAGGGAACGTGGACCCCATCCCAAGGGTAGGTAGGACAGGATTTGGTCTACTCATTTGACAGATCAGGAAACTGAGGCACACAAAGGTTGAGTGACTGACCCAGGGTCAGAGAGTACCATCAATGCAGGACTGGGAGCTTGGGTCTCTACCCCAGCCCCTGGGTGGGCTGGCTGGTGAGAAAGTGTTCTTCATCAGGACATCTTCCACAGCCAAGGTCCTGGTGCACTGTGTGGTGGGCGTGAGCCGCTCTGCCACGCTGGTGCTGGCCTACCTCATGCTGCGCCAGCAGCTGTCCTTGCGGCAGGCAGTGATCACCGTGAGGCAGCACCGATGGGTCTTCCCCAACCGAGGCTTCCTCCGCCAGCTCTGCGAGCTGGACCAGCAACTACGGGGCTCAGGCCAGAGCTAAGGAACCAGGTAAGGGCTAGTTGGGACTTGAGGGCACGAGGGGGGAAAGCTGGGGGGGGGGTACAGTGTTTGGCAGTGAGATGTCAGGTGAGGTCTGGGCAGGGAGCATAGAGGGGGACGCCAGTGGAGGCTGGGCTAGGAACATGGGATGGGGCTGTTAAGACTTGGTTGGCAGGGCTGTGTGTGGCTGGAAATGAGGGTGGAAGGGGGCCTGGCCTACTCCCCAACCAATTGGCCCCCATCACCCACCCAGGGTCTCAGCAGGGCCCAGCCTAAACAATCTTCCTATAGAGTCCCACCCCCATCTCCCCAGCCTACCTGATTCTTCAGGACTCAGAGAAAGGGGGAGCATAGGAAGCAACGTGGTGAGCGAGGCCTTCCCTCCTGGGCCTGGGGCCACCTGCTCTGCCTCAGCAGAAAGCCCGTGGGGGCCTCACGAGTCCCACCAAGTCATCCCCACAGCCAGCCTGGACTTTCCACACCACCACATCACCTTCCTCAAGGGTCTGAACCCCAGCTATAGTCCCACAGAGAAAACATTCCAGGCTTGGCTCATTCTTACCCTGGCCTCACCTCACCGTCCCCTCCATGGGAAGGAGAACGGGCTCCCAAATATGTTCCTGCCCCAGCCATGCCTTCCTCACCCAGATGCCAGAAAGCCCCTGGGTGGTGCCATTCGGTTCTCTGCCTTGGGTCCAGCACTCCACTCCTGCCTCATCACCCCTCTGATCTAGAGAAGGACCCTCCCTGACTTCCTCCTTCTCTGGTTCTGGGAACCCCTTTAAGACATGAAGCTCTTCCTGAAGTCCATCTAGACTCCTTCCTGCTTCCATTGTTCAGTGATCAGGACAGTTGATCATCAAATAAGAGGGCAGTCTTTACATGGCACAAGGGGAATGGACCCCCAATACCTCCTCTCCACAAGCTGCCTCCCTCCCACTAGGGGCCCAAACTGCCCAGTGGAACAAGCTGGGCATCCCCAGCAGCAACACTGTTCTTGGGCTCCTAGCTGCAAATGGTCACCAAGATGCTGCTCCAAATCTTTCATATCAGCCCTCTGTGAAATTCCTCCAGCGTGGGTGGGAAAAGGCAGGAGTGTCTCTTCCCAGAATGGGGTGGCTTTGGCTACATCAGGACTATGAGGGAGGGAGCGGCACATGCCCATGCTGGGTCTGTCCTTGTCTGGTCCCTGCAGCCTGCCTCCCCCACCTTCTTGTGCTTCTGGGGGTCAGGTCTCCAGGGCTGGTCCCCAGTCCCCAGGGCCTGCCTCCAGCTCCTGCCTCCCTCACTGCCCCTTCTCTCTCCTCTCAGCCACATCTTTGGCTGTGCCCCACCACCCACTGGCTCAGAGGGGCTGCCAGATGGGGATAAGCAACCAGACAAGGCTCCCACGAAGCTGCGAGCATTCCAGCTTTCTCCTCTTGCCCCATGAGCACTCAACTCTTATTTGAGATCTCTCTCCCCACCTCCCACCCATAAAGAGGCGATTCTGTCTCCAAAGGCATAGCCAGCCCAACCAGAAGGGAGGTACTGGCTCCGCACCTGTAGCTCAGCAGCTAGGGGCCAGCCACATACACCCAAGCCCGCGGGTTCGAATCCAGCCCAGGCCTGCCAAACAACAATGATAATCACAACCAAAAAATAGCCGGGCATTGTGGCAGGTGCCTGTAGTCCCAGCTCCTTAGGAGGCTGAGGCAAGAGAATCGCTTAAGCCCAGGAGTTTGAGGTTGCTGTGAGTTGTGATGCCACAGCACTCTACCAAGGGTGACAAAATGAGACTGTCTCCAAAAAAGAAAAAAAAAAAAAAGGAGGCACTTAGCAACAATTAACCCCTTCCCACATGCTGGCTGGAGGATGAGCATCTTGGGGAGAATGATTAGGGAAGGATCTGTACCTAAGTTTAGAGTTTGGAGATCTGATGGGAGAAACTTAGGGTTGGGACTGGGCCAGGGGCCAAGCTTGGTGGGAGACTGAGCTCTGTGGGTGGAGGGAGGAGGACGTGTTCCCCCATGGAATGGCACATTCCCTGCCTGCCCTCTCTCCTCCAGACAAGATCCAGGCACTTGGCAGAGCATATCTCTGATCGTGCTCAATCTCCTCACGTCCTCAGCCTGGGGCCTTAAAGTCTTTCTCACCAGGCAGCCGACTTTGGGGGAGATGATTGGGCAGGGTTGCAGCATTGTACAATTCATGGGTGGGGGGGTCCTCTAACAAATTGTCCACACAACTGGAGCCAAGAGTTGTGCAGTGTGCAGGCTGAGCAGCCATACATGGCAGCTTTGGGGCTGCAGACTCTGAACGATGAGGGGGGTGTGGGGCAGGTCATCTCTGTTCATGCTGTGGTGCCAAACCTACTGCCTCATTTCTCTGAGCATCTGTACCCACTTGACTTTATAAACGGGGCTCAAGATAGAAGCAGGTTTAGGTGACGGCTCTTGTTCCTGCCCCAGTAAGGCCCAGCCAGTTCCAGTCTGGGCCTTGGTTTACCTGCCTGTAACACAGAGCTCATCTCTCTCCCAGAACTGGTCTTTACTTCCTGCCATGGGACTCTGCCACCTTGCTACCCTGACACTGGCCCTGCTGGTGCTGCCAGAGGCTCTAACCCAGGTGGCTGCCCAGAAGATGACAAGAGTCCAGCATGGGGTCCACCCAAGAGCCTGCTCCTCCATCTCCTTCATCCTGGTGTCTGCACCTCCTGTCAGCCACTGTCTTCAGTCCCCACAGGTGGGAGTAAGATGCCCTCTCAGCCAAGTCCTCAGGCTCCTTGGCTAGGGATCTCAACTTCGCGGGGATGGCTTCAGAAAGTAAGGGTGTTCGTGATAACCCTTGGCGACAACTGCATCCCCTGACTCTCCCCAAGGCTTGGGGAGCACCAGTAGGGACTGAGCCTAACCTCCCTGGAATGCAGATTTCAGAGACCCAGAGTGCATGCGACTGTGGGCAGGTGTGTGTTCATCAGCTGGGAGAGTGAGAGGGGAGTAGTATGGCAGGGAAGGTTCTTAACAGGCCTGGTTACAAGGTCCCTAACTGAGCATAGCTTTGGGAAGGAAATTAAAGACCATTTCACTGGCCTCACAGGATAGTGGGGCCTAGCCCAGAAATACCCCTGGGCATCCCTGCCTTTTGGGGAGAGAGGAGCCTGGCAGAGAGTGAGAGCAGTTCCTGGATGTGCAGCTTCTGACCACAGACCAGGTCTGTCTAAAGACCTGCACTGTAGCCCACTCATACCTCTGTCTATACGTGGAGCTGAGCTGTGTCCCTCAGCCTGAAATTCTAGATCTTAATCTTAGGCCATTTCCCCTGGACCTTGGTTCTGATGTTGGCAATGCCATCAGTTTGTGTATGATTTTGATTAACCTCTTCCTCTGTAGAAGATCCTTCCTGCTTGAACTTTCTGCTCTTGTTCCATATTACTCTTGAAGGCCAAGGGTCCTTTTTTTTTGAGACTGTCTCACTGTGTCACCCTCAGTAGAGTGCTATGTCATCACAGCTCACAGCAACCTCAAACTCTTGGGCTTAAGCAATTCTCTTTCCTCAAACTCTCAAGCAGCTGGGACTACAGGAGCCCACCACAACGCCCGGCTATTTGTTGTTGTTGTTGTAATAGCTGTCATTGTTTGGCAGGCTGGGGCTGGGTTTGAACCTGCCAGCTCTGGTGTATGTGGCCAGTGCCCCAGACCCTGAGTTACAGGCACTGCCCTCAAGGGTCCTTCTTAAATGGTTTATTTGACCTCCCTTCTCCCTGCTCCACTATCAGCAAACATGTACACACATACCACAGGCAGACCCAGGCTAAGCTGCCTCCACTCCCAGCAGGGCTGGGCCTGGAGGGGTAGGAACTGACCATCCCATAGGACCAGAAGATAATTGGGAGTGGCAGGGGAGGTTGGGAGGGGGGGACCAGACAGCATGCTTTATAATTAAACTCAAATCAAAAAATAGAAACAGCATCAAGTGTACAGAGACAGGCAGCTGGAAGCCGACAGCACATACTGCCTATCAGGGAAGATCACAGCCTGGGCCAGACACCTCCACAGGTGGGTAAGTGGCCCTAATTCAGGGGGTTCCCTGAGCATGCTGGGTAACGAGGGCCAGGACACCTCTGCCTGTGTGTGTTGGGCATGGGTGGGGATTGGTTTGGGTGTGGGACCCAACTGAGTCTGCAATACAGGCATAGACAAATCATAGTAGAGTCAGAAAGACCTGGGCTTGAATCTTGGTTCCCGCACCTATTGGCTTTGTGACTTTGGGCATGTTGCTTAACCTCTCTGAACCTGTTTCCTAATCTTTAAAATGAAAATGATAATATTACTGGCTTCATAAGAGCACTGTGAGGATTCAATGAGAAAATGTAAATGTCTAGAGCTGTGTCTGGTACATAGGACATCCATAGTAAGTGGTGAATATAATAATTATTACTAGAAAGAAAGCATTGAGAAGTATAGAGAAACAAAACCCAGACCTCACTGGCCTGTGGGAAGGTTGCCCTCTACTGAGCTTGTGTCTTAAAGCCTGAAAGGGTAAGAGTAATTATAGCAGTGGTAATAATAGTAGGAGGCACCATTTAGTGCACATCTACCACGGGGCAGACAGTGTGGGAGGCACTTTATATTTATTATTTCAAGGAATCACACATAGCAGCCCTACTGAAGAAAGCAGCTCAGGGAAGACCACAGAGATGCAAGTCCCAGACCTGAGAATTCTGCCCAGGTCTGCCCTCCCCAAGGCCTGAGGGCTGAGCATAGAGGCCCATAGCAGCACCCCATGGACAACACCCCTCCACCCTCCCAGAGGCTTTCTTTCCGAGACTCATCACTTGTCCTGCCCTGGGAGCTCCAGCTCCCCCTGGCCTGTGGCCACACTCCTCTCTGGCCCCCATGAGGAGGAGGCAGAGAGCTTGGTGCGGAGGGCAGACCAGGGGAACATCTATCTCCTGGAGCTGCAGCTGAGGAGGCGGGTGGCAAACAGTTGCCCGCTTCTCCAAGGTCCATGTGCCTTGGCTGAGGCTGTGGGTATGCAGAATGATGTTCTGGAAGGAACATGAGCTTCCTGAGTAGGATGGGAGTCAGAGACAGACAGGGAGAGCTGCATAGAGAGGAGAGGTATGGATGAGGACAGAAAACCAGTGTATGGACTTGTAAACCGCAGTGCTGAAGCAAGGAAGCCCTTGCCCACAGAGGTAGCTGCGTGGCTGAGCGGGGAGAAGGAGGCAAGGTGGAGCCTTGGCTGAGCAGGGAGAAGGAGGCAAGGTGGAGCCCAGGGAGCAGAATGAGGTGTAGAGTGAGCGGCAGAAGAGCTGAGCGGGCTCTGTCACTGCTGCAGGCTGGGTGAGGAGATGCAGAAGGAAGTGTCCGCCAGGGCCCTCCACAGCCCAGTCGGTGCCACAAAGCAGGGGAACTGCTGTAGCCTCCGACTCCCCTTCCTTAGGTGTACCGGGAGGGGGGGGGGTGTGAGTCTTTGGGTGGGCAGCTGGGCCTGACTCTGGCTGACGAGGTGGGCTGGGCCACAGGGGGGAAATGGTAGACAGGAAGCAGGTACCTCGTGAGCATCAGGAGTGAGCCTTAGGTAGTACCTGACCAGGAGTAGCCCTAAGTCCAGAGAAAAGCCCCTTTCTCCAGCCCTGGGTCCACGGTCCCTTCAGAGGCAAAGGCTGTGGCCTACTAGCCCCCAGTCCCTGGCCCTTTTGGAACCCCCAGGGGCAGCGGAGTCCTCCAGTGTCTTAGCCAGGGTCGGGCTATCAGCTCCCTTGTGCTGGGCTGTGAGGCACTTCCTGGCCACCAGAGGGCGGCATCACCCCATGCCAAGCTCGACAGGCCTGAGCCCCACCGGGCAGCCTGTTGGAGCCCAGCTTGTCCTGCCTGGAGCTGGTGCAGCCCCACCTAGTGGCTCCAGACCTATGAGGATATTGGGCTTCCCTGAGACTTGGGAGCATCCTCCTCCCCACCACACACACTTTCTTCCCTGTAGTGATTGCACACCCAGACACTCCTCTCTCCTCAGATCAACCTCCTAGCGAATCCTAAGTCAGGTATGCCAGGATCTTTAGCATAGGGAAGAGAAACTGTGGTCCAGACAGGAGTGAAGACTTCCTCCAGGCCACAGAATGAATTGTGGCAGAGTCCCAAGGAGCCCAGCTCTCCTTTCCCCCCCTGTAAAGTTCTCTTGCCACTATTTCAGGTTGTCTCCCATCTTTGGGAGGGGGAGACGCTTCTGGGGCCAAGAGCCTTTAATACCAAAGAGATGCCAGGCAGAGCAGAGGCTGGGGCAGGGCCGGGGGAGGGGGGATGGTGGCCTGTAGGACTACTGCTTCAGGCCTGATCTGTTCTCAGGCCCCACCCCCACAGGCTCCAAGGTGAGGACCTAGAATTCTAGCCGCTTCACAGCATCTGTGTTCTGGGCGGAACTTACTGCAGGCCTTGTTCTGCTCCCGAGCTGAGTCCCACCCCTGCACCCACTCCCCCATTCCTGGGCCCAGATCATGTCCTAGGTAGGTGGCAGGCCATTCAGCCTGCCCTGAGAGGTCACAGTGGGGAATGAGGGGGAAAGCTGGGCCTTCACTTCCGCCCTGCACATCAGCCAGCCACTGGGTGAGCTTGGCCAAGCCGGGGGCCTCTTGGGTACCCGTTTCCCTTTCTGGTCCTGGCCCCTCCTATCAAAGGGAAAAGATGTTCTTCCCAGTCTGCACCTTCCCTAGTTACTGGCTGAAGGGGTCAGGGACAGTTGGCCAAGAGAGGCCCACCTTCCCAACACGGCCCCAGGCCCATGTTCTGGTGCCACTGACACCCCAGCTCTGCAGGGTCCCGAATGCTGTCAGCCCGCTGACGCCCGATACAAACCACCCCACCCGCGGGAAGCCTGACGTACAGCACTCCTGGCCTGAGTCGTGGGGGTAAGGAAGAACACAGATGCCTGTAGGCAGAGGAGCTCACCAGTACTGGGTAGCCCTAAGGAAACAGACACATTAGTGACCATTCTCTGGAGCCTCAAAGGTGGTGACTGAAATGCTTGAGGATGAAGCTAAAGGAGCTAGAAGTAGACTGAACCGCACTCATGTGGCTTTGGCATCACTTATAATAAATCTGAGCTCCAGCTTCCTCCTGTGTCAGATAGGGATGTACCACAAGCAAGGCATCAGGCATGAAGAGGCATTATTAGCTCACTGAGTGTGGAAACACTAACAGATATCGGTTCACAGCCTCATCTCTCACCCTGGACATGGCACTGATCTCTAAGGCCCTAAAAGGGGAGGGGGGAGCCTGAAGGCCAGCCTGGATGTAGCAGGGGAGGGGCTTGAGATGAGCTGCCTAGGTTGGGGGACCTTTCTGAATGTCCTTTGAGAGCCACAGCCATCTGAGGTTCCTGACCACTGACTTAAAGGGTGAGATCTGCATTGACCAGATGCCACAAATAGGGGACTCCTTGCCCAAAGCTTCCTACACCTGCAGCCTTAGGAGAGGGCAAGAGAGAGGTCTGCCCAGCTCCATGGTGGTGACAAAGGATTGATTTCCTTGTTCCCTGGGGAAGGGTGCTAGGCCTCAGCCCCAGCTGAACGGGTTAATAACCTCACCTGAAATAGCTGAGGCTCTTCTCCTAACTTCCCAATGGCACCTGGGCACTGCAACATGGGTCTTCCTATTGGCTAGATCCACCCTGGGAGCCTGCCTTCAGCCACCGCCGTGTCCATTCTGTTCCAGAATGGACTCGCTACAGAAGCAGGACCTCCGGAGGCCTAAGATCCATGGGGCACTCCGGGTGTCGCCCTACCAGCCGCCCACACTGGCTTCGCTGCAGCGCTTGCTATGGGTCCATCGGGCTCCCATGCTGAACCACGTCGATGAGGTCTGGCCCAACCTCTTCCTGGGAGATGCGTGAGTAAGACCCACAGGGTGGGGGCAACAGAAGGGTGTGAGGCCCACACAGGTGTGGGGGCGTGTGCCTCTCCCAGAGCCCTTCAGGGGCAGAGGTGGGGCCCACCCTTTGCCTCCCACCATCTCTTTCCCTATTTTTCTTTCTTTTTATATTATGATTACTTTTAACATAGAAGAAAAGTGCACAGAACATAGATTAACAGCTTCATGACCCAGGTGAAGAAACAGGACGTTACTTGTGCCCCAGAAGCCCTTACTGAATCCTTCTCATAATTTTTCCTTTTTCTGTATGGTTTACCACTAGGCGTCGAATAAACTATTTCCTTGTTTTTCTTTTTCTTTTTCTTTTTTTTTTTTTTTGAGACAGGAGCCTCAAGCTATCCCCCTGGGTAGAGTGCTGTGGCATCTCAGCTCACAGCAACCTCCCACTCCTGGGCTCAAGTGAGTCTCCTGCCTCCGCCTCCCAAGCAGCTGGGACCACAGGCGCCCGCCACAGTGCCCGGCTATTTTTTTTGGTTGCAGCCGTCATTGTTGTTTGTTGGGCCCAGGCTGGATTCGAACCCGCCACCCTGGGTGTACGCGGCTGGTGCCTTAGCCACTTGAGCCACAGGCGCCGAGCCTCCTTGTTTTTCTTAAAGTTGTACCACCTATATACATAAATAGTGTGATTAGCTTTACCAGTTGTTTTGTTTTTGAGACAGAGTCTCACTATGTTGCCCTCAGTAGAGTGCCGTGGCATCACAGCTCCCTGTACTTGGTAAAGTTTCATAACATTAGTATATCAGCATCCCACAGCTGTGTTTGTGTGGCAGTGTCTTAATGAGTGGCATTCATTATTTTTTCAAGTTTTTGTATGTCATACGATGACAATTCTGATGACAAGATGCTAGCATTGGTGCATAGCTTCCCATGGGGAGTACTTTGAAGGTGACTGTAGAGGTCATCAGCAATGAGGCAGGTAGTACTTTTTCTAGAACGAGTTTGTGAACTTCATTGTCAGACCTCACATGTACATTTTTAAGGCTTTTGATGCGCAATGCCAAATTGCCTTCCAGAAAAGTTGGCCTGAGTGAAAAAGAGTCTCCACTGTCACCTGCAAGAGCCCTTCACCTCGAGCCAGTTCCCTGGCTCTAGTCTCCATACTTGGCAGGCTGTAGCTTGGGGAGATAAGTTCCAACCCAGCCAGGGCTGAGCCAGGGAGATCCACCTCCACCCTCCTAACTGCCCTGCGCCCTCCTCCCCAGGTACGCAGCCCGGGACAAGAGCAAGCTGGCTCAGCTGGGCATCACCCATGTTATAAATGCTGCTGCAGGCAAGTTTCAAGTGGACACAGGTGCCAAATTTTACCGAGGAATGCCCTTGGAGTACTATGGCATTGAGGCTGATGACAACCCCTTCTTTGACCTCAGCGTCTACTTTCTGCCTGTTGCTCGGTACATCCGAACTGCTCTCAGTGTTTCCCAAGGTGAGCTTCCGGGGAAGGATCTGGGTGAGGGACATGGTGTGCTCTGGAGTTGTCTATGTTTCCAGTAGCACAGGTGGGGGAGGGAGTCCAGAGCCACAAACCATTTCAGACCCTCCTACGCCATGGGAGAACTAGCTACCACTATTTAGTGAGTGTCCTCTTCAGGGACAGCCTGAAAAGCAGAGATCACAGTTATAACTGAGTTCCAGGGTGGGCATCAGAATAACCACATCCCTCAGTAAAAGGCAAGGTGTCAGGTGGAGGGTACAGGTCCTAGCAAAGCCTTTTAAACAGGCTGCTAAGATGAGGCCTTGGAATAGGGTTTCGGGAGCAGAGGAGCAGGCAGAACTGAGAAAAGAGAGGCAGGACCTGATACAAATCCAGGGACCGCAGGAGTAAACTCCCTTCCCCCAGCCCAGGGTGGCAAAGGATGCCAGAGAAAGCACCCTGGACCAGAAGAAGGAAATCCCAGCCGCTAACCTAAGCCCCTGCCGCTGACTTGTCGTAAGCCTTTGAGTCAGTCTCTCTCTCTGGGATTCTATTGCCCCATTCCACAGTGAGGACAGTGTCAGTATTCCAGGATGCTGTGAGGGATGGCCAGGGATACCCCTTCTTCCCAAAGGGGTGGGGCAATTCGAGGGCAAGTAGCTGATGCTATGTTGGGTCTCCCCACAGGCCGCGTCCTGCTACACTGTGCCATGGGGGTAAGCCGCTCTGCTACGCTCGTCCTGGCCTTCCTGATGATCTGCGAGAACATGACACTGGTAGAGGCCATCCAGACGGTGCAAGCCCACCGCGATATTTGCCCCAACTCGGGCTTTCTCCGACAGCTCCAGGTTCTGGACAACCGACTGGGGCGGGAGATGGGGCGGCTCTGACCTGGCAGGCACCCAGGAGCCCTGACCCTCCATCCAGCATGGCCCAACTGATCAGCCTGGACCTGGGGACAGCAGCTTCTGCTGTTCCCTGTGACCCTGAGATGTAAACAGCAAGTGGAGACTTAGCTGAGGCAAAGGCAGGGATGGCTGGGTGGTAACCTTTAGCAGGTGAATTTCCCTGACCCAATCCAGAGATTCTTTATGCAAAAGAAAGTTCAGTCTGTCTCTATAATAAAAGGTTCATCATACTAAAGACAGGTAATCTTCTGGTTGTTTGTGAGGCAAAGCTTACTCCTGAGTGTGGTCATGAGGCTCTGGATGGCTTTCCAACTCTGACTCTCATATTGGGAACCAGAGAAGGGGTCGGAATCCATGCCAAGGCTTCATGAAGAAGGGGGATAAATGGGGATCAATTAGCGATCGCTGTCCTCAGTGCAAGTGAATGGAGCCAGGGTACAAGATGAACAAGGATGAGATGACCTCTTCCTCATCTTGTCCTCCTCATATCCTCAACCAAGAATTTTGTCTGATAAAGGCCCAAGTTCGATGTGACACCATCCTCTACCCAAAGTTCGACAGTTGTATCAAAACTCGTGTGCACAGATAGCAGCATCTCTTGGAACCAGCCGATGTTTATACTTGAAAAAGTGTAAAGATGCTTCCTGACCTGAGACCACTTACACCACTTCCAGAAGGACTGTTCACGATTGCAGTGACCTTGTTGGGGAGGCTGAGGGCAGGAGGATTGTTTGAGCCCAGGACCAGCCTGAACAACATATTGACCCTGTCCCCCCAAAAATTACAGACACCTAAAAAATAGGGACATTAAACAAGAGGAGGATGTGAGTTGGGGAGGGGACACTGCAGAGATCTCAGACGAAGGACTGTTATGGATGGGGAATAAAATATTTGGTTCAGAGTTTCTTAGTTCTTATGCCCTAATAAAATAGACCAAAACACTATGCAAAGTCCCTCACCCAGGGTCCCCACCTATGAATGGCACTTAAGGTATTTTTGAGGATTAAATGGGCTGGCTTTCCTTCTCCTTCACTGGCTGCTCCTACTTGGCCTTGACACCTTTGGCTGACCCTTGAATATTGAAGATTCTTGGGGTGCTCCCCTCCGCCTTGCCTCTCCTTCAGTGTTCTTGTTCTCTTCTGTGGGGCGCTCCTGCTCCCGCAGCCTCAGTTAGCATCTCTGGGCTGTTGACTCCCTGATGGCAATGGCTGGTCCAATCTCTTTCCCAAAGTTAAAATGTCTGCCTCCCACTGGCCACCCCTATTTGAATGTTGCACCCAAACTTCAAACTCAGCTGAGATTTTCACCACCACGCCCACCCAGACACATTCCTTTTTCTAGTTCCCTGTTTTAATGAAGGGTTCTGACAGCCATTGTTCTCAAGTCAGTTGGCAGGTGTCACCTTGGGCTCCTCTGAATAGTGCCCAGATCTGCTCATCAGTCTCACTTGAGTTTCTTTCTTTCTTTTTTTTTTTTTTTTGTTGTTGTTGCATTTTGGCTGGGGCTGGGTTTGAACCCACCACCCTCAGGTATATGGGACTGGCGTCCTACTCACTGAGGCACAGGCACCGCCCTCGCCTGAGTTCTTGCAAAAGCCTGGCTAATAGTCTTGCTGCCTCCAGCCTTGTTCCTCCAAGGCTGACATCTTACTAAAATAAAATGTGATCGTGTCACCCTTCGGTTTAAACTCCTTGAAGTGCAAACACCTTGATGAAGTATAAAGATGCTTCCTTCCCTGAGACCTCATATCTCCAGCCACACTGAAATTCTGTTCCCAGACATGCTGCTCAGTTAAGGAACGGACAGTCGTCTATAATTCCCGGGATGCACTTCACTGTGTCCTCCAGCACTGCCACACTTCAGGCTGGACCACCTGGATGCTCCACCCACACCTCTTTTCACTGGCTCAACTCCAGCTCCTCCTTGAGGTCTCAGTTTAGATGTCACTTCCAAAATGTCCTCCCAGACCCCTCAAGCATGAAAGAAGTGTGTCCTCCCTGGTGTCCCAAAATGCTACCCACCACATGTGATAGCATGTGGGGAAGATGAGTTACTTACTTTTTCTTGCCTGAAGCCCAGCAGGTGCCAGATTATCTTTTCTTTCTTTTTTCACAAAGTCTCACTTTGTCACCCTCAGTAGAGTGCCGTAGTGTATAGTTCACAGCAACCTCAAACTCTTGGGCTTAAGTGATTCTCTTGCCTCAGCCTCCCAAGTAGCTGGGACTACAGGCGCCCACCACAATACCCGGCTATTTTTTTGTTGTTGCAGTTTGGCCAAGGCCAGACTCGAACCTACCACCCCGGGTAATATGGGGCCGGCGCCCTAGCCACTGAACCACAGGTGCCGCCCAGGTGCCAGATTATCTTAAGTAACCATGATTGAGCCTGCAGGTGCCATGTTATCTTAAGTAACCATGATTGAGCAATACGACATCATTTTTATTAGCGCTTGACTCAGAGTCACTGTCATCTGGCCGCTACATAAGGCTCCGAGGCTTTCTGCCAGTGCGGAGTTCCCGAGATGGACTTCCTTGGGAGGGAAGCTTCTCACACTAGCTCACCTGGCCACACAAACTGAATGAAGGCAGGTGTCCCTGTGTTCGTTCACTGGCCGCTACAAGCTGAATAAAGGCATGTCACAGCTACCTTTGGCTCCTCGTTTTCTCTTTGGTCTGTCCGAATCTGGTGTGATTTTGGCATTAACCGAAGCACCACACTTGCCTGGTGCCTTGCTATCTTTTCCCACTGGCTGTCTCTGACCCAGCCTACCCAGGCTTAAGGTCCCCATGGCTCCCACACCCTCTGGCTATGACTTTGACCTCAGGTACAGTCCTGTGGGTCTGTGGACCAGCAGGCACAGGTTGACACCATGGCCACTAGCTCTCTCTGCAGAGGCCCTAAAAGGGAGTGGATTACACTGGGACAGGCACTGAGCCGCCTGCTGAGGGCACCTCCTCTCCTCCCAGCTCCTCCTGTGTGCAGCATCTCCCCAGTACCCTCTTCCCAGCGTATCTAATCCTACTGGGGCTCCTGTGCCTTCTCCTCCACCAAGGCTCTCTGGAGCCAGCTTTGCCCTCTCTTGGGGGCCTAAGGAATCTTTGCCCTTCTCTGCCATCTGGTCTATTTCCATAGGGCAAATGCCCCTTGAAAAATGTGCCTCCTCTGAGCAAGCCTGTTCAGGCAGAAGAATACCCAGGCAACCAGTTCAGGGAAGGAAAAGGTATCCCTTCCTCCCAAGTGGACATAGCCCCAAGGTAGGGGGCCTAGCTGGGTGAGCTGAGCGCTGGCTGGGTTTTAGCCACATTCACCCCTTCTGCAATTCAAAAACCACACAAATGTATACCACCTTGCCTGGGAGGCACCAATATTTCCATTTTACAGATGAACACATTGAGACTCAGAAAAGGTGAGATGGGGCTAGAATTCCACCTCCTGCATCCTGGATCTCCGGGCTTTGGCTCAGGGTAGGTCCTTGCCCAGCTTGCTCGGATCACCTCTCTGCTGGTGGCTGCCTCAGGTGGCTGGTGGCTATCTCAGGTGCTCTTTGCCCTTTTTCAGGGGGTACACAGATGGGGGGGATGACAGAAAGACTGGTGCTGCTGTGCCCAGCTTAGTCCCAGGGCCCAGTCCCAACCAGCAGGGCTTCTATCCACCCTAGGGATAGAAAGCTGTTTTTGGTTCATCTTCAGGTTGGTGGGGCCTATAATTTTCCATAGCAGACCAAGCCAGTCCCAGCAGCATAGCCCAACCAGCCCACTCCCAAGTCCCATGGATCCCTCCTCCACCGGACTACTCAGTCCTTGTTGCTATTTCCTGCTCATGCACCCTCAGCAGGACCCAAGATAGTGGCCAGACGATCATCATAGTCTGAGAGTGGGCAGCCTGCCCCTGCTGTGTGGGTGTCCTGAGACTGCAACAGAGCCGCACCCTGGGTCTGGAGGTTGGGTGTCAGCAGGCTGCTGTCTTGGGGCTCTGTGGATTGGGTGCAAGGGGAGAAGAGAAGTAGCCAGGAGGCAAGTAGTAGTGGGAGCACCAAATATTCCCCATGCACTAGAAGCTTTGGCTCACGCCTATAATCCTAGCACTCTGGGAGGCTGAGGCAGGTGGATCACCTGAACTCATGAGTTTGAGACCAGCCTGAGCAAGAGCAAGACCCTGTCTCTAAAACTAGTCAGGCATTGTGGTGGGCGCCTGTAATCCTGGTAATACTTGGGAGGCTGAGGCAAGAGGATTTCTCGAGCCCAAGAGTTTGAGGTTGGGTTGCTGTGAGCTGTGACAGCACGGCATGACAAAGTAAGACTCTGTCCCAAAAAAAAAACAAGGTAATGATTACCCAGCTGATAGTATTTAGGTAAAATAACTGTGGTTAAAGAGAAGCTAGGCTGGGAAGACAAACCCTCCATCATTTCTTTCTTCACCTTCCAACCCTGCGGGGTAGGTCTTTTTATCCCCATTCTACAGACAAGCACACAGGGGTAGAGGCTAGGCCAGGACAGAAGTGAATATTAATTGAGAATTTACCAGTGCATGAGTCAGCCTTTGCTAATATTCTGACAAAATTCTCCAAATCTCAGCGTCCTGACCTCAACAAAGCTTTGTCTTTCATCTGCAACACAGTCTGATAGAGGGTCAGGGGAGTAAGCCTGGAGGATGTAGAGGCCAGATATATGACTTCCCCTCAGGTTCCATGGGCCAGAAGTCAGTCAGATGGTCACACCTAATTGTAGGGGAGGCTGAGAGAGAGTCTAGGGCAGCACCTGAGAAGAAAAGGAAACTGCGGCTCAGCACCTATATCTCAACTGGCTAAGGCGCCAGTCACGTACACCTAAGGTGGCGAGTTCGAATCCTCAGCCCGGACCTGCCAAACAACAATGACAGCTGCAACCAAAAAATAGCCGGGCGTTGTGGCGGGCGCCTGTGGTCCCAGCTACTTGGGAGGCTGA